ATACCCTTAGTTCACGGGGACCTCTTGAGCTCTCGATTGTGGGATGAGGCAACAATCCGTGGGAAGACATTGAATCCTCATCCAATGACTCTTAGGACCGTTAGAGGAGTGGTTCAAAACAAAATTTCCTATAAACATATCTTATTTTTATCATTATTCTTTATACCTTTCAAGCCTTCATTTTTCTTATCTTCATCAATTTTTCTCTATTATATTATCATATTCTCTAACATTCCTCACCAGTATATATTTATATCTAAGGAATACTCCGGAATAGGAATAAAAGTATTTTGAAATTAAAGTAGAAGTATTATATTTTGTATCATACTAAACCTAAAAACTACGACGGTTGGATTTCAGATTTTTTTTAGATTTAATCTTTGGAATATTGATATCACAAGAAACATAATAAAAATTATGATTTTTGATTTATTCTGATACCACACCGTTATTGTTTTAAGCCTAATATGTATTCAATATTCAATAATGAGTCGAGCCAAACTCAAATTCTTCAATTCACCCATGTCATATTGATGGATGATTTAAATAAATCTGTCTAGACTTTAACACACTAAAGCATCTTAAACATAAATAATTGTAAATTATAGATAACGTAAATATATATATATAGACAACTTTTCATGTCCAGCCGGCCTGACGGGAACCGCCGTCCGGCCGAGGGCATTTCGGGCAGTTCCCGGTGGAATTTTTTGATGAAATTTTTTGAGCATGTTCTTCATGAAGTCTAGTTTATCCATACCAAATTTCAGCTAAAAATTCAACCGGGAAGGCATTCAAATAATTTCTTGAAGTTAACTGGGCAGTTCATACATATAAACTGCCCAGTTAACTTCAAAAAATTATTTGAATGCCTTACCGATCGAATTTTGAGCTGAAATTTGGTATGGATAAACTAGACTTCATGAAGAACATGCTCAAAAAATTTCATCAAAAAATTCCATTGGGAAGTGCCCGAAATGCCCTCGGCCGGACGGCGGTTCCCGTCAGGCCGGCTGGACAAGAAAAGGACTATATATATATATATATATATATATATATATATATATATATATATATATATATATATATATATATATATATATATATATATATATATATATATATATATATATATATATATATATATAGGGAGTGGTTCTAATGAGAACACTCCTTATCGTGAGAAGTGAGAACAAATCCGGACTCTTAATCTTGTGGAATGAACGGTGATATAAGTTGAAGATGCACAGTTCGATCGTGCACTGCGTCACATAAATACGCATCATGGAAACTAATTTCAGCACACGTGAAGTCCTTAAAGGGTAGAAATGTCACAACAGGAAAAAGCTACCTATTATGGGTACCGTGTTTAAATTTCCACTTCCCGAAAAATTAGCCACAATCACGCACCAATTCCACTCATAAAAATAGAGTTAATCCATTAACGATTGCATAGTTTTGGTATTGCACATGTACGTATTTGACTAGATTTTTTTCTTGTGTATCATCGAATTGCAATTGTGCTGTTGCACATCCTTCATTTTTTTGGGATAAGGGTTGGATTTATTTACATGAATGCATATTGGTGTGATGTCTGAGTTGGAGTGAAGCTTTTTTTTTTCAGAAAAAAGAGATTAATTAGCAAAAGTGAAATAAAGAAGAGTATTTGTGCATGTGAATCCAATAATAGTGACAGCTAGTAGAGTTTGTTTATAAGTTGAAGTTTTTTATGTCTGATATTGTGCATGTGAAAACCAATATTGTGCAAGGAATTTGTGTTTTTTCGCATAAGCTAATAGGCAGAATTAATTAAATATTATTTGTGCATAAGCTAATAGGCAGTAGTGAATAAATAGCTAAAGAAGAGTTTTTGTGCATGTGAATGAAATAGTAGTGAACTTGAATGACATAGTAGTGATATTCCAAATTGATTTTTCGTTCAAGTGTGGCTTTTTTTATTTAGGTGAGGAACCTAGAATGTGATTAATAATGTGCACTATATTCATTTATTAGTGGAAAATATTGTCATTAATACATGTGCAAGTTACACGCCAACATTGTGCAAGTTACAACCATCACAAAAAGTATGATACGAAATTGCCTTAGCTTCTCATCATATCATCTCTACTGAGTGTGTATATTGGATGACCGAGATGTGTTCTTACTTCTCACATTAAGGCTTAATGTGTGTTGGATACATGCTCTTGTGCACCTAGTAGTTGGAAATGTGTGTTATTCTTTATTGTATACATTTTATACATATTTTATTTGTAAAAATTATATATGACATATTGGTGTCATATGAAAGAGCATAAAAAGTTATTTAATTTAGTATAATTTTTGTTAAAATCGGATCATTATTTAAGAAGTTAAATCAATTTTTAAACTAAAGAAATTTTATATGATTTGAGATTTGTTATTACCTAGTTTTTAGGGAAATGAAAAAATTCATCCGTATGGATAGTTTTTATAATTACCATGTGAGATAACGTAATTGTTAGAAGACTGAAATGTCCTTTCCTACGTTTCATTTGATCGCAGATGGTTATTGATTTTGGATGGCTGAGATGTGTTCTCACGTTCTCACGTTAAGACTCGTTCTCATTTGAACCAATATATATATATATATATATATATATATATATATATATATATATATATATATATATATATATATATATATATATATATATATATCTGATCAGGTCAAAAGGTTTTTGCCTAATTAAAAACATTTTACATTTTGGGACCTTGCAGTAACTCTCAACTTCTAACAACAAAATTCTCAACTTTTGGGTCATATTACTCAATTTCTTTCTCTCAATTATTTCTCTATTTCTTTACTCTGTCTCTATCCTATAAATAAAAAATCACGCCTCACATTTCTTTTTTTTTCTTACCTTACCACAATCTCATAGCATCTCTAGTGAAATGGTATTCTCTTACACACCTTCAATTTACACATGAGTCATTTTTATCTTACAATTTCTTGATGTATTTTAATTTCATTTTTATGTTACTTTTAACTTACTCTTGGCATATTTTGCTCTCTTCCAGCCACTTGGGTAGAATGCAAAAATAGGTTAATATAGGCGTCACGTCTGTCACCTCAAAAATAGTTATAGTTGCTGGTGAAGTTCACGTTCCTCTATTGTTTGTCCAAACATAACCTTGTATGATTATCATTATGACTATGAGAATGAAATGAATGTATTTATTTGATCTTCACAGGTTGCATAGAGACGTTTTGTCTCCCGCCTCTAAATAAATGAACCCCCACCCTTTTTGTTTTAATGCATCCATTTTCTGATTACTTTTTCATTTTTAAAGACGATTAAAGTCTAGTAATATAGTACGAATTAATTGAGAGGACAATACATATTTTAAAGATATTTGGTTCCACTGAGTTTAAGAGAATTTCTAGACGTCTTCTAAAAGATTTTAAAGGTAATTAATATGACAAGTATGAGTGATTCCAGGGACCTTTTAGAGTTAGACTTAGATAATGTAAATTAAACATAAAGCTAGTATCTATCATATCAGAATTTTTTTGTTCAATTAAAACATCCAAATTTACAAGTATATTATTTGAATTATGACATATCTTACTATCTTATTAGTTTATCAATTTGTCATATGCTCATATCTTTTTATGGTTATAAAAATTAACTTGTGGTTGAGTCCGTTTTTAGATAAGGGCTTTTGTTTCATTTCTTAACATAGTAGTCAATGTGCTTTAATTCCGTTTATCACTGAAGGGGTCCAGTGTCTACCGTTAGAAATTGCCAGAGGAAGACGCGATAATACCCTATTTTCAAAAGTGCCAAGAAAATCAAAAGAAAAATATCAGGAAGTGCGGCTCATTAAGACGACCTCCAAATCATCTTTGTTTTCGGACGGGCTTTCCAGCGACAAGAGTGGCTAGAAATAAAGCGTAAAGATGGTTTGGAGGTCACATTAAAGAGGTGCACCTCCTAGTATTTTTCTTTCAATTTTTCGGACACTTTTAAAAATCGGAGTTACTGTTCATCGTCTTAACTACGTTAGGCATCAAACCCCTCTAGTGATAACAAAATTAAAAACATGGACTACTTTGTTAAGATAGTCTTTTTCGGTACTGAAAACATAGTGAAAACAAGTCCAACAACTTCTACCTTTTCTGTACTTTTCCCTATAATTTATACAAAAGAAGGTTTACCCTTGTTCAAACTATACTCTCTTTGGTAGGGACGAACTTATCCTTGGGCTGTTGATGGACAAATCAACTCTTATTACACTCCTATCATTAATGGATATATAAACCCATAAATAAAAGCATACCGTCATGAGAGTTATGTGAAGTGGTTCTTGCCTGGAATGGAATGAATGTATTCGATCTTCACATGTTGCGCAGAAAAGTGTAGTCTCCAACCTCTAAATAAATGAATCCACACCCTTTTTATTTTTATTAAAATAAAATCATATATGTTGGAATTTCTTTTTTCAAAATGTAAGTTTTGTTTCTTGGCGTGATTTAATAGATTATAGAAATAATACTATTAGATGGATCAATCACTAAATGTCCATATAATAACACAATGTATCATAATTGACTGAGTAGTGATTATACTAGACTTAAATATAATGGATCACGATAGGCTGAATAGTAATTCTACTAAACTTAAAGCAATAGCGGGATTGCTAAATGAAAAATATACTCAAAGAAAAAAATAGAGAGCACGGGACTTCCATAGGCACTTGGATCCGCCCTGAAATGGATGATTTAATCAAATGCATTATCATTCCTATCAGTATTATTGATCTCGTTGTTATAAAATTTACATTTAAAACATATACCTTAGTTGTGTTAACTAAAAAAAGGTGTAGCATATAGCTTGTTCAAACTAAACTCTTTTTCTGATAGTAGTATTATTGGTAGGGACGGATTTATTCTTGGGCGGTTGATGGACAAATGAATTCTTCTTACTCTCCTACTATAAATAAACTGCCCATAAATAAAAGCATACTCCCCTGAGACTAATGTGAAGTGTTTCTTCTTGCCTGGAATGGTGAAATTTGAGGGCTTGTTGATGCAGCAGGTGAGTGAGGAGGAGCTTAACAGAAAGGGTAAAAGTCTTGAAGATGAAGAGGTTGAGGAACTAAGACATGAGTTAGACGCACAGATACAGGTGAGAACTGCCCTTCAGGCTGCCCTGAAAGCCCCGGTCAGCTCTCGTCCCAAACTCTCTTCCCTCCCTCCCATGGTATGATGATGTTCTTCTCTACTATCTACTCAACATCAAAATTTTCCAGTTTTGATCTCATTATCTCACCTGTAGCAGTTTGTCACTTTCAATTTTGATCATTGAGTTAAACATTGCCCCCTTTGGTACACGATTATATTTTTTTGTCACTTTTGTCACTTCTGGTCACTTATTCAATGAAAATCAAGTAGATTGAATTAGTAATCATTAGATGAAGTTCACAAGGAATCCAAAAGGTGCACCAATAGTGAGAAAATAACTCAGGACTAAAACCAGTCACATTTACTAGGTTATTTCAACTTTTGGTTTCTAAGTTTAAACTTATCTACTTTGATGTAGAATTATGAATTACTTGCCAGTTCTGTTCATCAACGAACACTTAGCCGATGATAATCAACAAGAAATCATGTAGACATGGCCAAATAAGTAACACAAGGCCTAAATGGAACAAAAATGACAGTCTTGCACTAAAAGAGAGACAAAAACAAGTAATGAACCAAGATGTTTATAACTTATGATACCAAAAGTAGAAACTTTTCTCTTCAGAGATTTGTTTTATTTTATCTTTGCTTGTGGGAATTGACGAACGAAACAAATGTAGGTCCAACAACTCATTGAAGAGGTCATGTACATTGAGGAAGAGATCTTCTGGCTGGAGAGAAAGGTGAAAAACTTGAAACTTAGTTTGTTACGCGAGAAGGCACTGACGAAATGCCAGGAAAAACGTTATCACCACCGAAGGATGTTAATTCCCAGACCCACAGATTCATACCCTCCTCAGTCTCGTGAAGGAAGTGTAAAGTGCAAAACTAGAAGAAATGGGAGAGCTTCCATCTGTTCACCGGTGGATCTCAGAAGCACTTGTTCTACAATGTCTAACAATGGTATATTTGAGTATTTGACACAATGCAGTATCATTTCACATCCCCCTTTGTGCCTAAATTATTCCCATTGCAACTTTTCATGATCTTTATTATCCAAGTAATGCGTATAATCAGCTACTTAAATAGTATAGACCAACACAATATATGTCTGAAAAAGTTCTTATATATTTTTAAAAGGATATTGTTTATTTCTTTCTATACATATTACAATCACATAATTTTAATTCTTAATTGAGTTAAAAATAAACTGACAATAAATTTCTTGGGCAATGGTAACATAACACTCAAGTCTAAGGGGGTGTCTGGCCTTGGGCTATTCTTCAAGGCTTTTCTTTCTTGGAGAGCCAAACGGCAGAAGCGAATAAGCGATAGAAATAGAGAAGAGCCCTAGAGTCACTGTTCTCAACAAAAAATGATTACAAAAGAAAACAAGAATCCATAAGCTATAAAAGTAAATATTACAAATATTGTTAATACTACTCCGTATATAGTTACTAGAAGGATGGTGTACAAGTTATTTATTGTAATAATCTCAATAACAGAGGCTCATGCCTAGGGAGTAAAAACAAAGGAACGGCTCGGTAATATAATTTAGGGGTTTTTAGGGGAATTTTGAGTTTGCACCCCACTTTTTGGGTGATATTGAACTTTGCACCCCATTTTTAAAACTCTTGGACTTTGCACCCTATCTACAAGACTACAACATTTTGTGAAGAATGATTGTTGGATGGGGTGCAAAGGCAAATGCATTTTAGAAGAAATAGGGTGCAGAGTCTAAGAGTTTTGAAAATGGGGTGCAAAGTCAAATATCACCCAAAAAGCGGGGTGCAAACTCAAAATATCCCTATAATTTAATTATAATTAATGTTCCCTGATTTGCATGTGAGGTAGCAATACAGTTCAAGTCATCTCACGCATATGACAACAGCAAATATCTCAACTCATTGACATCTCATGGGATTTTCCATTCACATGGAAATAATCAATGATGATGACACTTTTAGTCTTTTCATATCATTGTTCTTTCTTAAGAAGGTTTCTGTTTGAAGGGCGTATGACGTAAAATATTTTAGAGATGGGTGTCTAGTGTAATGTAGTACTAGTACTACGTATATTTGAGTATAATGTTTGGAGCAAGTGAGTTTACTTCCAAACAGATAACCTGGGTGACCTAGGTTATGCCCTTCCATAATACCACAAACCATATGAGAGCTTTGGCATTACGCTCACACTTGATTAAAACTAGGTTCTGATTTACTGTTCTAATTGATGATGTGGGAATAGGAGATGTTGGGGAGAGCTCAAGGAGTTCAAGAAGCAGGAGATCCCATACTCAACCGGACCTAAAGAACAGTTCCGAGAAACCTAATAAGCTTTCGGAAGAACTGATAAGATGTCTAGTAAATATCTTACTCAAACTAAACAAGGCATCACTCGAGAGTCGAGGGTCAGCTGTTTTTCAAAAGCATCAGCAGCCGCTTTCCAACAAGAAATCCAAAAGATTCATGTCAAGAACCTCATTGAGTTGTACAACATTATGCACCTTTTCCTTCAACGACTATGCTTCAAACCTCGACCCTTACGGGATTTTGCAAGATTCTGATGGCAGTATCACACAGATTGGGTCATACAAGAATTTCATTGAAGTCTCACGAAGCTCACTCGATACCAAGCATATTTCTGAGTGTCTTCCAGAGATGGGAAAATTACGGTTATGTAAATTTATTTTCATTTCTACTTACTTTAGGATGACTTACTTTTAAAGAACAAGTGCTTTTCATGGGAAGAAAAGTGCTTCTACTTTAAAATAAGCGTTTGAAGAGGAAATTTGAGACGTGATTTTAATTGTTTTTTTACTGGACGTGATTTTAATTGCTAAAATCGCTTTTGTGCTTATTTTAGAGTACTTTAAGTGTTTAAATGAACAAACACTTCTTATATAAGCATCACAAGTCATCCCCAAACAGGCTCAAAGAGTGAATCTGGGGTGTGCCTTACTCTCAAAAGAATAAATACATTTCATAGAAAGAAAAGTACTTTTGCTTTGGGGAGTAGTGAGGAAATAAAAACTGTGTTTTTATATATTTGAACAAGAAAAAAAAGACGCGTGCTTTTATGAGAAATACGGAGTAGCTTAAAATAAGAGCACTTGTAGCACAAATCATTATTTTCATAGAATAAGTGCTTGTTAGAGCCTTGGAGAAAGAAAGTACTTTTATTTAAAAAGAAGAATCTGGCAGGCTTTTCCACTAAAAGGGGCACTTTTTAGGCTTATTCGAGTATCACCGGAATCAAGTTGTAAAGAAACTACATTTTTTTCCTTTCCAGGATTTTGCTTCATAAACTCAAACACGCAGATTTGTCTTACTTGACAAACAAGCAGAAGTTAGCATTCTGGATTAACATCTACAATGCCTGCATAATGCATGTACTGTAAGATATAAATCAATACTTCCACAGAAACCAAAGATGCATAAAGAGAGAATAACAAATGCAATCTTTCTTCTATTCAGGTGTTTCTGCAGCACGGTTTACCTTTATCAGGGGAAGATCAAGTGGCACTTATGAACAAGGTATGTAGGGGTGGATTCGGGTCAGGCCACCCGGCCGCTACTGTGCGGGACCGGGACCGTCCCTGTTCTCGGGTCCGGATCCGGGTCGGGCCTAGGCCCATGGGGGAGGGCGGGTCCGGGCTCGGGTCGTGGTTTTGGCGAACCGGCCCGGCCAGTTCGGGCCGGGTACCGGGCCTATTTTAATTTTTTAATTTTTTTTCAATTTGTTTTACTTTTCAGGTTGGGCTGGGTATTTTGGGCCATTTGAGGTGATTTGGGGGTGGGGGGGGGGGGTTGGGGGTTAACTAAGAAAAGGAAAAAAAATAGAAATTACCCGAGGCCCGGCCCGACCCGGAGATTACCCGGGCCGGTCCTGGGCCCCCCATTCCTAAACCGCCGGCCCGACCGGGCCTAGGCCCGGGCCCGAACCGGCCCGGCTCCACCCCTAAAGGTATGGAGCTTTCTATTTCACCCTCTTGTTCAGCCAAGTTATGGCATTTAAATCAAAAGAAGGTATAATGTACTGTTAAATGTATTTGTAAATGTCTTTAAACCATAGATGCATTAAATCATAATGCTCAGAACTCATAATGGTTCTTTCCTTTTCATTTTTTCTGGCAAAGGCTGCAATAAATGTTGGTGGAATTATATTAAATGCATTGGCCATTGAGCATTTCATCCTTAGGCATCCATCTGACAGCGAATATGTGAGTAAACCAGTTTCCCAAAGGAACCTATAGTTCTTAGCTTTATGAACATGATTGACAGCATTAACTTTGATTCACAAGGACCTGAGAGATGAGAAGGGAATCATGCTGAGGACTGCATATGGCCTGGGTTACCCAGAACCAAACATCACTTTTGCACTTTGCCGGGGCAGCTGGTCATCACCAGCAGTAAGTACTTGTTTTGCACAAGAATTGCTCCCTTTGGTCCTTAATATAAGTCACTTTTGATAAATTACACAAACTAACTTAACGACTCCAATGTGCACCATACTACCCTCATTAATGAACAACACGAGCAAACAAATATGCAGTTTTCAATAAGATCAAATGGTGAAAATTACTTGCTCCCTGTTTTCAATTATTTATCAGTACCTGTAAATAAAAACTCTTTATCAATACCTTCTAAATTACGGAGTATGACTTATATCAAGGACTAGAGAGCGTATTCAGAAGGTTAACTAAGATGTACGAGATTCCATAGAATGAACATTTACACGTTTGGGGGTTCCAGTTGAGGATTTATACACATGACGTTGTGAATGAATTGGAGAGAGCAAAAGTTGAGTATTTGGAGGCTTCAGTTGGAGTTTCAAGCAGCAAGAAGAAGATAATGGTTCCCAAGCTGATGCGGTGGCATATGAGAGATTTTGCAGATGACATGGAGTCACTAATAGAATGGATTTACAGCCAATTACCACATTCTTGCACACTGAAAGGATTAATAATGGAGTGTCTAGAAGGGGGGAAGAAAACACCGTTGGCTAAAATGATTGAAATCCAACCCTATGCTTCTGAGTTTCGATATCTCTTGCTTTTATAGATACAGCAAGAAAGCATCATTACAATAGAGCAGATAATTGTCTCCGTAAATAGAAACTACTCCCTCTGTCCCCCAAAAAATAGTTCTGCTTGTAATACAAACAACTCTTGTCTAAAATGGATGCAGTTACAGAAAGAAACCATTTGTAAGCCAAAATAGACTGAGATGTGAGTAAACACTAAATGCCACTAGAACTGGTGATGACCTTAAAAATAGACTGAGATGTGAGTAAACTAAATTATCAGATGGACATCCACAAATGGCAATAACAGTGTTCATTTTTCAAAATTTGTTTATATTTTTTCTATTATTATTTGTCCATCACAAAAGGTTGCAACTTATAAAAAATAAAGATAAAAGCTCAACAATATTATATTAAGATGCTCACAATAATGAAATATCACTTTTTACAACAAAAAATGGCAAAACAAAATGAGCTCACAACAATGATTTTGCTTGTCCTTAGCCATCCAAAGCAGATGTACTGAACAGTGACAAGCCTATATATGATAGTACATGCTTGACTTATATCTGTAAAGAGTTCTCAAGACACATTAGAACTAGGTTTCAACATCTGGTGGGTTCAGCCAAAAAACTCACAACCCTATTCAACAAATTCAGGCCAAAGACTGTTTCCTCACAATTGACTTTTAACGATGCTGTCAGTGGTTCATGACATTTACCTTCATCGATGGTAATAGTAAGCAAGCACGGGAATGAGTTGCTTAGTATCTCACCACTGAATCGTAACCTTAACCCTGTTACATCATCAAGGTTGGTCCCAACAGGCATATCCACGGATACAAGAAAAAGGCTTGTATTACTAAGGACCTTCAATACCAAAGCCTCACATATTACAACAAAGCTGTCTTTTGTGGCTGGGCCCGCAACTACTTTAAGTTCTTCCATGTGATCAGTGAATGAACATCTGTTTAAAAGATGGGAGTTAATATATCTCCTAGCGTAAAGGAGGAAAATACTCCCTTTCTATTAAAAAGGTTTAACATTCCTTTAAAGAAAGTTTTCAAATATTCATTCCACCATCCCTTTTAAAAAAAAGGAGCTTATCAAATGACATAAACACTCTTATTTTTTCAAAGTCCTCCAAATTTTTATCATTTCTCTCCCCTGTTTTTTTTAATTTTAATACGCTATACAATACCCGTCACTTTTACTCTTAATAAACGTGTCAATGCCTAGTGGAACAACTATTCCAATACGGAGAGATGATTTTAAATTTAGTTTTAAAAGTAAATAAATTCAAAGAGTCTATGAAGGATTTAGTTTCCGAGCATTGTACCATAACATTACTACAAAGGTGTACCACGTACATGATGAAACATGACAGTTTTTGGAAAGGAGAGACTAAAAAAATTAATAGTTCTCAAAAGAAAGATTAGAATTTCCATAACATAGTAACTATTAACTAACCTCCTTACATACTCAAACATCCCAGGCAGCTGAGACTCCTTACTCAAGAATATTTCAGTGTCTATTGGAAGAGGTCTTACAAAATATCCAATGTCAGGTCTCAACTTCACAGTATGCTTCTTGCCATCACACCATAAAGTGAACTTAAGAGGCAATAGATGATGGTGAAAGTGAACCTCGAGGGTTCTTTTTGAGGTCTGACCAGGCTCTAGGAGAGCAATCACTTCCATAGGGACAGCAAATGACACCTTAGTATGGTCGAAGGAGCTGCTCATCAAAATGAATCAGACAGACAGAGCTAACAGAGTTTGTAGATTCAAGGAGTAACATAAATCATAAAGATTGTGTGTTTTATGGTCCATTTGGATAGAAGGATTTAGAGGTGATGACTTTGGATGACTTGTCTATGTCTTGACTCTTGATAAATTAAATAAAAGGTGATGGAAATGGTATCCAATCACATACGATGTTAAATTTTCAATTCTTATAAAATCTCAAGTATTTATATTAGTATATAGCAAGATATAGATTAAGCTCTCCTGCCCCTCACAAGTCTTCCCCTAAAAACCCTCCATCCAAACAGACCCTTGGAAAACTGATTAATGAAGGAAAGTAATGCTAATGAAAAGAGACATGCTGTCTAGGGGTGGGCGTGGTTGGTTAACCGTGTTTTGGTTAACCAACTTTCCGGTTAACCGAGAAACCGGTTACTTCGGTTAACCGAGTATCGATAAACCAAAGCTTCGGTTAACCGAGTATCGGTTAACCAAAACTTCGGTTAACCACAAACCGGTTAACCAAAAACCATAAAACCAAACTGAAAATTATTTTTAAACATCTAATTTCATAAACAAAAAGCCATAAGCAGATCAAGTTTTTAAGACAATAAATAGAAATACAAGACTAAATGTCTAAATGAGTCTTAACAAATACAGAGTAATAATTACTTAACAGACATTAACCAACTGGAATTAGAATGTCTCACTCGTATTGTGGTATGAAGTTTGGTCACAGAAATAATTTTTTGGGTTATCTTCATGGACGCTTATAATAAAATTAAATATTTAAATAAAAGGAAGAAAAAGAAGGGCGGATTGCTGTGCAGATTGATGACCGATGCATGATAAAGGGTGAATAATATACGGTGAATAAAATATACTCCGTAATAGTGTATTAATAAAAATAAATAACTTATATAAATAACTTATATCTAATAAATAATACTCCGTGATTTTTCTTTTTTCTGGCCGTTTCTTCTTCTCCGCAGTTTCCCCTTCCTTGACTCTGCGATCTCCTTTTCTTCTCCTTCCTTTCCCCGTTTTTTATTCTCCGTAGTTCACTCTCGTAGCAAAAGTGGAATCCCAATTATATTAACAGAGTGAAACCAATACTCCATCCCCGTGCGTGTGAGAGTGAGAATTGAGAAACCCTAACTAGAAATTCCCAAATTCACCAAAGAGGGGCATACGGCTTCAATCAAATATGGTATGTGAGAAAAGGAGGGATGAAACACCTGGATATGGAGCAGAAGAGATCGACCGCCGAGATTAAATCAGATCGGCGGCTCTGGAGAAGATGGAAGAAGAAAGCCAGAAAGGCATCGTTTACTATGGACTGGGCGAGCGGCTAGCGTAACTGAATAGATAACTTCGGTAAACCGGTGCTAATCTATTTTAAAATGGTTAACCGACCGAGAAACTTGTTTTTAATTAATCGGTTAATTGTATCGTGAATTTTGTAAAAAAATGGTATGGTTAACCGAAAAAGTAACGGTTATTCGGTTTTTTTAAACGGTTAGACGGTTATGGTTTTTTTAAACGGTTAGACGGTTATGGTTTTTTTAAAGGTGATGGAAATGGTATCCAATCACATACGATGTTAAATTTTCAATTCTTATAAAATCTCAAGTATTTATATTAGTATATAGCAAGATATAGATTAAGCTCTCCTGCCCCTCACAAGCCTTCCCCTAAAAACCCTCCATCCAAACAGACCCTTGGAAAACTGATTAATGAAGGAAAGTAATGCTAATGAAAAGAGACATGCTGTCAGAGTAAATCTCATTACCTAGATGCCGCTGTTTGATCTGTAGGTTCTGTACTTCTGTTAGACCCTTCTTCAACCAACAACAAATTTGACATAGGCTCTGTTGAACAGTTTTTGAAGCAAAGCTCAACGCAGACAAGTACTTGAGGTTTGCTTGAAATCTCCGTTGAGAACATATAATCAACACTCAACCCACTTCCATTAGCAGGATCTAGCAAGGTATAAGATTTAGGCTTGACTCTGCTACCTATATCTCCCATTGAAATTCTTGCAAATGATCGACGGACATAGCTTATGTCAGATGAATCGTGGACAGATGCAGGATTATCATTCAACCATGACTCTAGAGATCTATTAGACAGCAGCTCACTAACTTCATTGGAATTAGAACAATCAGCACTCTTTCTTGATCTGCCTATTTCATTTCTATGGTCATTGCCAAGATCTGAAAGGAGAATCAACGGGTTGGGATTTTCATCATGATCACTCAATGGATTTGCCCCACTGGCACTAGTTGGAAAATCCTGAGAACTATAACCTGATAAACTTTCATCATCTAATGATTCAGAATCGGAGTTAGGATCATCTTCTTCATATGAATCCCTCTGGGTATCATGCGATGAATTACCGCTGGTATCAGTGTAAATTAAACTCTGGGGCTGTGGAAGAGGTTCATATCCAGGAGCTGCATGAAGAACCATATGTGAGAGAGATCCAGGTAGATAAAACTGATAACTTAAGGGCTCTCCAGGTGCTGATTTTGTCTGACCCACAAATAAGCGTTCAGCAAGCAAATGCAGTGGGCTTGCAGTTCCTGGTTGGCAGTTTGCTTCATCCATGTCAGGGAGGAGTTTAATTATGAACCGTGCACGATCACGGAGATCATAATTCAAGTCACATTTGGCTAGTTCCAGAATATAGTTTAAAATTCTTCTAAAACTCAACATATTTTCTCCCTTTGCACGCAATACAACCTGGAGGTGTAATGTTCACCAATAATTAAAACATTTCTCTTAAGTCCAGAAAAGACTGAATAAATTTGCTGTCAATAAATGAACTTATAAATAAAAACAGTCACATATATCCACATTTTACTGCATAGAACACAAAGCAAATAATAGTATTATCTTCTTTGTACACTGACCAGCCATGTCTGTTCTCAGATTGGGAGAAGAAACGCGTAGTGTCTAATAATTGTGATTTTAATAAATCACAAGTTTCATATATCCTCAATGTGGCTTACAATTATCCATGTTTTACCAATTCAGCATCAAGCACACACCTATACTTTTCCTAGATTTTGCTTCCATTTCCCTTGTCCCAAACTTAGTGGGACAGAGAGAGTACATAATTTGTCAAAACACCTGGTCACTGTAGAACAATCATGTCCATGTAGAGGACAATAATGATGATAATTCAGAAAGACAACAGATAAAATAATAAATGACTAATAATAATGATATACATATAATTATAATGATAAAAATAAAATTGTGAAAAAAAATACTTCTACCTCCATTCTTAATTAAATAGCCCCCTTAGGTATAAAGGTATTTCGATAGGAAAAACTTACTGAAAAGTGAAAGAGGGATAAATAATAAAAAACATCCCAAAAAGGAATAAGGGACAACTAATAAAGAACGAAGAGAGTAATTATTATTATAAATGTTATAAAAAATATAATAATACAACAACAA